CATAAAACTGCATTTATTTCTCCACTGGGACTGTACGAGTGGACCCGTATGCCGTTTGGTCTAACTAATGCACCTGCTACATTCCAGCGAGTAATGCAGAGTGCTATGAGTGACTTTCTATTTCAAATAATGTTGGTGTACTTGGATGATATACTAGTTTATTCAAAAACTTGGGAGGACCATCTAGAAAGATTAGAACAAGTGTTTCTCCGTCTTAGGGAGATAGGAGTAAAGCTGAACCCAGACAAATGCTGCTTCGGTCTGAAATCGGTACATTTTTTGGGTTATGTGATTTCGTCGGATGGCATCGCCACTGACCCAGATAAAATTGCAGCTGTTAAAGAATGGAAACAGCCAACAACTACAGTAGAGGTAAGATCATTCTTGGGCTTTGCTTCCTATTATAGAAAATTTGTGCCTGGTTTTGCAAAAATTGCCGCACCATTGCATGACTTGGTAAACAAAATGACAAAGAAACACAGTAAGGAGAAAAAGAAAGGTAAAACACAACTGATAGGTGAATTATGGACTGATGAATGCCTGAACTCGTTTAAGCTATTGAAAAAGGCTTTGACAGAGGCGCCGATATTAGGATACGCAGACTTTGACAAACCATTTCGGCTAGAAATTGACGCCAGCTCTAAAGGTCTGGGAGCTGTGCTATCACAACAACAAAAGCAAGGCTTCAGGGTTATTGCTTATGCCAGTCGAGCTCTGAAGGAATCAGAGAAGAACATGACAAATTACAGCGCCATGAAACTAGAACTTTTGACATTAAAATGGGCTGTGACGGAAAAATTCAGGGACTATCTATTAGGTGCTAAATGTGTGGTATACACTGACAATAACCCCTTGAGTCACCTAAAGACAGCAAAGTTGGGATCCATCGAACAGCGATGGGCAGCAGAATTGGCACTCTTTGACCTAGAGATAAAATATCGCCCGGGGCGGTCCAACGGCAATGCGGACGCCTTATCAAGGAATCCTTACGAGAGACCGGGCGATGAGGAAGAAACGCTGACAGGAATATGTGAGGTCAGAGCGTCAACAGATATCCCTCACGGGGTGCAAGTGAGGCAGAACGGACAGACCGGGGTGGAGCACATTTCCACAGAGCCCGGACATATGGACATTGGTGATTTTAGTTGCCTTAATCACAAAGAAATAAGAAATGCCCAGAGAACGGATAGTGGCTTACAGCCGCTGTTGAAACACGTCCAGGAACAAAAATTCCCAGGAAGAAGGGAAAGAGAACAATTTGGTCGAGAAACAAAGAAAATACTGAGTCAGTGGGACCGTCTCAGTATACAGGATGGTGTTCTCATGCGGAGAATTCATGACCAAATTGATGGGACAATACACCAGGTGGTGGTGCCTGGACAATTACGAGAAGAAGTGCTAAGGTTGGCACATGACAGGGCAGGACACCAGGGTCAGGACAGGACGCACAAAATATTACGACGGAGGTGTTACTGGCCCAATATGGAAATGGAGGTCAAACGCCATTGTGAGGCTTGTGTGAGGTGTCAGCATGCGAAAATGCCAGTTGTCAAAATGAGACAGCCATCGGGACACCTATTAGCGACAAAACCACTAGAGATTGTGGATATGGACTTTACGTCGTTGGAGCAATCATCGGATGGGACGGAACATGTGTTGGTAATGACTGATGTTTTCACCAAATGGACTGTGGCGGTGCCCACACGAGATCAAACTGCCAAAACAGTGGCAAAGGTCTTAATAGAACATTGGTTCATCAAATATGGCATACCAAGACAATTACACTCTGACCAAGGAAGGGCCTTCGAGTCAGAAGTAATTAACCAACTGTGCAGCCACTACGGGATCAACAAATCTAGAACAACCACATTTAATCCGAAAGGAAACGGACAGTGCGAGCGGTTCAACCGCAGCATGCATGATTTGCTGCGTACCCTAGAACCTGAACAGAAAAAACGTTGGCCTGATTTTCTCCCAGAGTTGGTATATCTATACAACTGCACCCCCCATGCCACAACCGGCTTTTCGCCACACATGTTGCTGTTCGGACGGGAGGCTCGACTCCCCCTTGACTTGTTCCTAGGAAAAAAGGAGAGTATGACTGGCTCATACACTGCACTGGAATATGTGAATGAACATATGAGACGAATTAGAGAAATGTACAGGGTAGTACAGGAAAGACTAGAACATGAAGCACGGCGAAGGGAACCGCCGGTACAGACAAAGGACCCGTCACTCAAACTGAACGACAGGGTATTACTGCGTAGCCACCCGTTAGGCAGAAACAAAATCCACGACCTCTGGGGACAGGAGATATGGCAAGTCGTGGAGATGCCTAAAGTAGCAGGTGGCCCCTTTAAGATAAGACCCATCGATCACACCAAACCGGATCGGTGGGCGAATATTGCTCAATTAAAGAAATATTGTCATAGTCAAGAAGAGCAGTTACACACAAGGAAATCCAAGACAATTAGGGAACCGGAAACTATAACGGAAATTCACATACCCATCCCGGAACCATGTCACCATCAACAGCGCAACAGCGATACACAAGGGGAGGATACCGGCAACAAGGAGGATCCCGGTCCCTCCAAAAGCAGAGAGACAGTAGACCATCAGATAAGTGGTCCGCGGAGAAGTTTGAGAAACAGAAAGAATACGAAATTTTTTGTCAGCAACCATCAATTCTTTCATGGTCGCGCTGGTATGAGAACAGACTGTTAAAAAAAGTCATAAAAGTGAACTGGTGAAGGCACCAGACGAAAAAAGGTGGATGTGAATTCTAGAACTGTTTTGTGTCTGAGGAAGATGATGTAGACACATTTGATATGTGAAATAGGGATAACGGTCAATCTTATACGAATGTGACGACATTGACAGTGAGTGGAACAATAAATTTTTTTACGGTGGTGCGATTGACTTTGAAGGACTGCACCTGCCAAGCGTTGTTTGTGGTTGATAACACACAAAAAAAGGCAGGGGTGGATGTAACTAGGGGAAGTTACCAGACATAAGAACGCGGTACAGCGCTGTCAACTTTGACACGACTGATGTAATAACACAGGTGGTGGCTGATAACGATCAGAAAGCCAGGGCGTAGTATCTCGGGAAGCGATACGAAAGACGGTCTGTCAACTTTGATGTGACAGGATGCAGATGGCTTATTAAATCGGACTGTACAACAGAAGCGGCGTAATGCAACGATTACGATTACGAGTATGATAGGACCGAATATGATTACGGATATGAAGGGGATAAATAAGGAAGGCGACGGCTGAGCTCGCAGTCAGTCTCTCTCTCTCGCTCGCTTTCGATCAGTGAGTCAGTGTGGCAGTATCAAGTTGGTTATAGAACGGGTTAGCCGTATTGTGTTAAGAAGGACGTTAGACATGTGTATTCAGTTAGATGAAGCCTAGTGAGGACTGTTGGGGGTCCGTTGATTCAGACTATTATTGTGAAATATCTCTCTTGATTCATTATATTATTGTGAAGCATTCTTTGATTCATGTAATAAAAGGATCAATAATGAACCTGCATCTTCGAGTATCTATGCTGTGGTCAATGTTGTGTGGAATGAGTGGTTAGACTCGGGAAGGTCACATTTGGCGTTGTCGGCAGGGTAGCCAGAGACTCGTTACATTTGGCGTTGTCGGCAGGATAGACTCGGGGACTCGTTACATATATATATATATATATATATATATATATATATATATATATATATATATATAGAGAGAGAGAGAGAGAGAGAGAGAGAGAGCAGTGGCGGCACTTAATGGTGTCACCCCCCCCCCCCCAGAGGCATAGTGACCCTTCCCAGGGACAAACTTTCAAATTTTCGATTTGCACCCCCCCCCCCTCAAACTTTCGATTTGCACCCCCCCCTCGAGTTTTTCTCTATTTATTTTGCTATTTTTTGCCTTGGTGTCACCCCCCTAAATGGTGTCACCCGGTGCGGTCCGCACCCCCCGCCCCCCCCCCTCGCTACGCACCTGATAGAGAGAGAGAGATACATATATATTCTTTGGGGGGGGGGGGTGACACCAAGAAGTTCCGCACCGGGTGACATCCGACCTAGCGACGCCACTGATGATAAGCTATTAATCCTTTGTCTGCTTCATTACTTGTTCAATAAGTAACGTGGACATCAATATCACAAGAATGAACTGAGCTACACTATTTTTCACACACTACACATGATCTGTTCTTATAGTCTATTGTTAGTGTTAGGGGTCATCCATAAATGACGTCACGCTTTTTTGACGATTTTTACCTACCCACCTCCCCTCCGTACCACGTCGTAAAAAAGCCAGACCCCCCTAAAATGACGTCACACCTCAGCATACAACCCCCCTCAAAATTGCTGTTGAAGTTTTCTTAAAACATCGATATTTTTCCAAAATCTTGTCAGAACTCTGCCAACATAGACTATTTTGATCAATTCCTATTACAATTTATTAAAAACTGTTTTCTAAAACGCTAAATAAAGGCTAAAACTCGTTTTCTAACATTGCTTTTTTATAATGCAAAAAAGTGACTCACACCATCTGACCCCCCTCCCCCTCATCACACACCGTCACAAAATTACGGACCCCCTCTCCCCCCTACGAGTGTGACGTCATTTATGGACGACCCCTTAGGCAACTGGTCACTATTTGCCGAAGGTCCCGTCTCTACACCAGCAGGTTTAATGAGTCGTTGAAGTGTAGTAAAGACAAACCGTTATACAGTTGTAACGTGGGACATGTCAAGTAAAACAGAGACTGTTTTCAAAAATTACTCTAATAATAAAATCTTTTATTTTCATCATAAATATTGTGCCCTGCCTGTCCCATTCAAAGTGAAAGCTAACAAGTTGTTCAAATAGTGACAAAAATGATAACACAGATTCGGATTTAGCAATAAACTAATATTATATATATATATATATATATATATATATATATATATATATATATATATATATATATATATATATATATATATATATAATATGAGACAATAGGCCTACAGGAGGCTCACATGAATTGTATCATACATAAATTAACTTTTTAACAGGTTGCCTATAATTTACTGCATTCGTCATTTAATAAACACACTTTTGAAACAGCAGTGTGGAAATCTTCAAATAAAAACTTGAATAATTTAAGAGGATGGATTTTTTATTTATTTTTTGGTATAATAAGTTCATCTGTTTTTTAAAAGTATCCAAAACTCGACACAATGATCTAGACCACATTAGAGGCATTAAGAACGTCTGGCTAGACAGAGGTGCTACCAGCGTCTGGCTAGACAGAGACGGTTAGTACCAGCGCCTAGCTAGACAGAGACGCTTAGTACCAGCGTCTGACTAGACAGAGACGCTTAGTACCAGCGTCTGGCTAGACGGAGACGGTTAGTACCAGCGTCTGACTAGACAGATACGGTTAGTACCAGCGTCTGACTAGACAGAGACGGTTAGTACCAACGTCTTACTAGACAGAGACGGTTAGTACCAGCGTCTGACTAGACAGAGACGGTTAGTACCAGCGTCTTACTAGACAGAGACGGTTAGTACCAGCGTCTTACTAGACAGAGACGGTTAGTACCAGCGTCTTACTAGACAGAGACGGTTAGTACCAACGTCTTACTAGACAGAGACGGTTAGTACCAGCGTCTGACTAGACAGAGACGGTTAGTACCAGCGTCTTACTAGACAGATACGGTTAGTACCAACGTCTTACTAGACAGAGACGGTTAGTACCAGCGTCTGACTAGACAGAGACGGTTAGTACCAACGTCTTACTAGACAGAGACGGTTAGTACCAGCGTCTGACTAGACAGAGACGGTTAGTACCAGCGTCTTACTAGACAGAGACGGTTAGTACCAGCGTCTTACTAGACAGAGACGGTTAGTACCAGCGTCTGACTAGACAGAGACGGTTAGTGTCTGTACAGGGGCGCTACTATCGTCTGCCTAGATTATGCGCTAACAGCCCCACTTCTGCTGGATCATCTGAGCGTTGGTCAGCGGCTGTTTCATCCACTGCAGCACCTGTTTGGGCGTGACAAACCAGACGTCGGTGCGGGTTTGTAAGACGTCTTTGATCCAGGCCACCAGAGCTGGGTAGGATTCTATGGAGCGGAGGAACATGGAGCCGTGGGTAAAAATTGGCATCGGGACCTTCACGGGGTAGAAGTAATTTTCAAGATTCCGCCTAGGAAAAGAAAATTTACAATTTAACATAGCAAAGCAAATTAAAAACAACAACAACAACAACAATAAATAAATAAATAAAATAAAATAAACCACATATTCGAAGCGGCTGGAAACTATGAAAATGAGGAAAATTGTGAAATCTGAATTTTTTTGTCTTCCAACCAACTAAAATAATATGAATAAAAATATTTAAATTGATAAAAATTTTCTTTGGCTATATCTTTTGAATTTCCCTTCATTACTTTTCTTACTAACTTTTCTCAGTATTGTACATTCTCTTTTATTTTGGTTAGTGAATTGTTCTTTTTTTTTTTTTAATACGAAACGAATTAGCATGTCATCATGGAAACGGTTTATCACCATGGTAAGCCATGAGAAGTTTGTGCTGTACTCACTGATAGAAGTTGTACCAGTCCTTCTGTGTTGCTGTCACGCCGTCACCAACGATGCAGGCGTCGATCATGCTGCAGCTGTAGCCGTTGTCTCCCATCCAGGCGTTGAGGGGAACTTCCCAGAGGGGGTACGACTTGGTGGGGCAGGGCGGGTTGACGCAGCTGATTCATGTTTAGACAGGTAGACAATTAGGTAACAGCTCTAATCATCTCTAACTTTATTATATTTATAGTACACTACACAAATTTGTGCGCATGTGTGTGTGATTGTGTGTGTGATTGTGTGTGTGTAAGTAGTGTAGTGTAGTGTAGTGTAGTGTAGTGTAGTGTAGTGTAGTGCAGTGCAGTGCAGTGTCGTGTAGTGTAGTGTAGTGTAGTGTAGTGTAGTGTAGTGTAGTGTAGTGTAGTGTAGTGTAGTGTAGTGTAGTGTAGTGTAGTGTAGTGTAGTGTAGTGTAGTGTAGTGTAGTGTAGTGTAGTGTAGTGTAGTGTAGTGTAGTGTAGTGTAGTGTAGTGTAGTGTAGTGCAGTGCAGTGCAGTGCAGTGTAGTGTAGTGTAGTGTATTGCAGTGCAGTGCAGTGCAGTGTAGTGTAGTGTAGTGTAGTGTAGGGTAGTGTAGTGTAGTGTAGTGTAGTGTAGTGTAGGGTAGGGTAGGGTTGTGTAGTGTAGGGTAGTGTAGTGTAGTGTAGTGTAGTGTAGTGTAGTGTAGTGTAGTGTAGTGTAGTGTAGTGTAGTGTAGTGTAGTGTAGTGTAGTGTAATGTAGTGTAGTGTAGTGTAGTGTAGTGTTGTGTTGTGTAGTGTAGTGTAGTGTAGTGTAGTGTAGTGTAGTGTAGCGTAGTGTAGTGTAGTGTAATGTAGTGTAGTGTATTGCAGTGCAGTGCAGTGCAGTGCAGTGTAGTGTAGTGTAGTGTAGTGTAGTGTAGTGTAGTGTAGTGTAGTGTAGTGTAGTGTAGGGTAGGGTAGTGTAGTGTAGTGTAGTGTAGTGTAGGGTAGGGTAGGGTTGTGTAGTGTAGGGTAGTGTAGTGTAGTGTAGTGTAGTGTAGTGTAGTGTAGTGTAGTGTTGTGTAGTGTTGTGTAGCGTAGCGTAGCGTAGCGTAGCGTAGCGTAGCGTAGCGTAGTGTAGTGTAGTGTAGTGTAGTGTAGTGTAGTGTAGTGTGAAGTTTGCACTCGACCAGTAACTACTCCACCAATCTGTGCTCAAGCAAGTCCACCAAGCCGTATGAAAGATCTTAACCTGACCTTTCGAACTTTTTGCAAACAGACTTTTGAATGTATTAGGACCCTCGGTGGTAGGGTCAGGCCCAGCCGGGGGAGAGGGAGGGGGGGGATGAAGACAAGCTATATGCTCTAGCTGTCCTACTTTCCAAAAACTTGGACTTAATCTCGTCTAGAATCTAGGGTTAAAGCCACCTGATTTAATTGGCGAATAAATTTTTATCTTTTAAAATCCAAATTAAGCTTGAATCAAAAGGTCACATAAAAAATCTGGCCACTTCCATAATTCCTCCCAAATTAGAATTGGCCGACAATATTTGTACCCCCCTCTTACCTGCCCACGGCGTAGTGAAAGGTGTAGGGCCACAGCGGACTCCTGCGTGCGGCTATCTCCACGTTAGTGACCGAGGTGTCGTACAGGAACCCGTAGTCCCGCAGGACATCAAACTGGACATCCCCCGCCACACGGAGGTAGGGGGCGCGGAACCCCACGATGGAGTCCGCCAGCGTCTGCTCTCCCGTTACCTTCAGCACTGTCTGACGCATGCCGTCAATCTGCAGACGATACAGTTAACGTGCCAGGACCGACATTAAAGAAATCCAGCTTTAAGGTGGTAATCGCTTAGGGAAGATTAAGATCAGGATTAACACCTACTGTTGCGGTACTTCTCCCACCGTTTTGATGCAAGTTTTTATTGTTTTGTTGGTATTCTCTGCACTAAACTTTTCTATATATATATAAACAGGTCTGACCTTTCCAACGATCTTGAACCTAGCACTAACTCTAACCTCTTCCTAAACTCTAACAGCGATCCCAGGCTAAAAAAATGCCTCGAAATGATCAGTTTTCATTTCGAAGCAAGTCCACTGCCCGTCCCCAACGGAATAGAAACAAAAATTAATTAGAAAATCCCCAGGAAATTTAAGTGCAGTTTCAAAAGTGCTCCCCTCCCATACGAGAAAAATTCCCGAAAGAAACACTGGATATGATACTTTATTGCCCTGTCGGCGTTTGTAGAATAAAATTTTTTCTATTGAGGTCGTAATGTCTTCTACAGGTAAGTTTGTTACAGGTGATTGTGTAACATTTTGTAACAGGTAAATAGTTACCTCGTCCACCATTGCAGGGTAGTCGCTGGGTGTATCGCCAAGTGGTAGGCTATGGTGGATGGTGTGGGAGGCGATTTCATGGCCAGCTGACCACAAGTTTTTCAGCAGGGAGTAGTTTGTGTTGTCCAGAGACACGTAGAAGGCTGACCTGGGGGGGGGGTAAAGATAGATATTGTAGGGCAAGAAATATGGGTAGCGCTTATTTCGGCAAACAAAAGGGAAATACACAAGGTTGAGAGGAAATAAGCACAGTGTTTATTTTCTGGACAGCATGTGAGAGGATGTAAGCACCTTGCGTATTTCCTCTACAGTGTGACGAAATTGTCTGAGGAAAAACAAAAACCGCTTCTACATAAAATGTAGATCTATACGTCAAAATTTATTTTCTTAGACTGCCTCTAGCCCCATCCCTAACCCCTGACCTTAACCGTAGCCGTAAGTTTAAAACAATTTATAATATCGATGCTATTTCCACTAATAACAAAAAAAAAAAAACGAAAACAACAACAACAACAACACAATTATGACAATTTTTGAATCCGACACTTATATTTGATAGCCGCTTCAATATCGATTCTGCCACGCTACCTATATCGTTTATCATGGGCGGAAATAGTAAAGTACATCCAGAAATGTGGATGTTGAGGTTTCTGTTAGATCTAGATACACAAGAATATTGACCAACCAGCTAACTGAAATAGGGTGTTGGTTTAATAGTGCGCACGTAGAATACTCACTTTATTTTTTAAAAGTTAGTGAGACACAACATTGAAGACAATTTAGACACATATTTCTGAAGAAACTATACACGCATCTGCAAAATCTTAAACAGTTTTATCTAATTGTACTCTTTGTTTTTTGTTTGTTATTTTGTTTGTTTTTGACAACATGATTATCTCCGAACAGGTAAATTTGACACTGGATAACCAATGTACAATATGCTGGTTAATTTTCTATAGTCTCATATTTGCTGACCATGCTGAAGTGAATGCTTACCAAGGAGTTTAAATTTTCTAAAACATTGAATCATATAATACCTTAAAGCTTTCTCCGTTTTCTACAAAACGCATAAATTATCTAAAACAGAACGGTGAAATTTTAGCACGCTCCCTGTAGTTCAGCTGAGACAGGTATTAACTGGGGGTTAGGGCTTAAATTTAGATTCACCTGTCGTATATTTTGACACAATCAGATAAATCTGTGAAATCTCCCCATTTATGGAAATATGATCGGACTTCGAGCCCATCCTGGTGGAGACAGACCCCAAGTTTAGGGGTGTGTTCTTTTGGGAGTGTGTTCTTTTTTTGGGATTTAGGAACATACAGAAAGGGAACAGAACAAGGATGTCCTGTAGGCGAACGGATAAATTATGTCTAGCAACTTTATAGGGTAATTAAGGGAAAGAAATTTTGACGAACAGGGGCAAAAATTAGATGATTTCCTTGAAATCCGGAGGAGTTACTTCCCTTATGTATCTTGCTATGACATAATCAAACACCATAAACAATTGGATGGAAGGGGGAGGGTGGCGGTATAATTTACTAGGCTGAGTGGATACACATTTAGCTTTGTTTTCCTGCTGCTTTATTCGAGATTAATGATGTAACATTTAGGTTGACTATAATTAGCAAAGCCAATTAATGATACAGACTTTAAGAAAAGCTAAGTATAAACACAGTAAATTAATGATACGTTTTAGAAAAGTTAACTCTACACGAAGTAAATTTATGACACAACATTTAAGAAAAACTGACTGTAAACAGACGAAAGTATTGACACAGCATTTAAGAAAAGATAACGGTAAACAAAAGGAAATAAATGATACAACATTTAAAAAGAAAAGATAACGGTAAACAAAAGGAAACAAATGGTACAACACTTAAGAAAAGATAACGGTAAACAAAAGGGAATAAATGACACAGCATTTAACAAAAGATAACGGTAAACAAAAGGGAATAAATGATACAACATTTAAGAAAAGATAACGGTAAACAAAAGGGAATAAATGATACAACACTTAAGAAAAGATAACGGTAAACAAAAGGGAATAAATGATACAACATTTAAGAAAAGAAAACGGTAAACAAAAGGGAATAAATGATACAACACTTAAGAAAAGATAACGGTAAACAAAAGGGAATAAATGATACAACACTTAAGAAAAGATAACGGTAAACAAAAGGGAATAAATGATACAACACTTAAGAAAAGATAACGGTAAACAAAAGGGAATAAATGATACAACATTTAAGAAAAGAAAACGGTAAACAAAAGCGAATAAATGATACAACACTTAAGAAAAGATAACGGTAAACAAAAGGGAATAAATGATACAACACTTAAGAAAAGATAACGGTAAACAAAAGGGAATAAATGATACAACACTTAAGAAAAGATAACGGTAAACAAAAGGGAATAAATGATACAACATTTAAGAAAAGATAACGGTAAACAAAAGGGAATAAATGATACAACACTTAAGAAAAGATAACGGTAAACAAAAGGGAATAAATGATACAACACTTAAGAAAAGATAACGGTAAACAAAAGGGAATAAATGATACAACACTTAAGAAAAGATAACGGTAAACAAAAGGGAATAAATGATACAACATTTAAGAAAAGAAAACGGTAAACAAAAGGGAATAAATGATACAACACTTAAGAAAAGATAACGGTAAACAAAAGGGAATAAATGATACAACACTTAAGAAAAGATAACGGTAAACAAAAGGGAATAAATGATACAACACTTAAGAAAAGATAACGGTAAACAAAAGGGAATAAATGATACAACATTTAAGAAAAGATAACGGTAAACAAAAGGGAATAAATGATACAACACTTAAGAAAAGATAACGGTAAACAAAAGGGAATAAATGATACAACATTTAAGAAAAGATAACTGTAAACAAAAGGGAATAAATGATACAACATTTAAGAAAAGATAACGGTAAACAAAAGGAAATAAATGATACAACATTTAAGAAAAGATAACGGTAAACAAAAGGAAATAAATGATACAACACTTAAGAAAAGATAACGGTAAACAAAAGGGAATAAATGATACAACATTTAAGAAAAGATAACGGTAAACAAAAGGAAATAATTGATACAACATTTAAGAAAAGATAACGGTAAACAAAAGGAAATAAATGATACAACACTTAAGAAAAGATAACGGTAAACAAAAGGGAATAAATGATACAACATTTAAGAAAAGATAACTGTAAACAAAAGGGAATAAATGATACAACATTTAAGAAAAGATAACGGTAAACAAAAGGAAATAAATGATACAACATTTAAGAAAAGATAACGGTAAACAAAAGGAAATAAATGATACAACACTTAAGAAAAGATAACGGTAAACAAAAGGGAATAAATGATACAACACTTAAGAAAAGATAACGGTAAACAAAAGGGAATAAATGATACAACACTTAAGAAAAGATAACGGTAAACAAAAGGGAATAAATGATACAACACTTAAGAAAAGATAACGGTAAACAAAAGGGAATAAATGATACAACATTTAAGAAAAGAAAACGGTAAACAAAAGGGAATAAATGATACAACACTTAAGAAAAGATAACGGTAAACAAAAGGGAATAAATGATACAACACTTAAGAAAAGATAACGGTAAACAAAAGGGAATAAATGATACAACACTTAAGAAAAGATAACGGTAAACAAAAGGGAATAAATGATACAACATTTAAGAAAAGATAACGGTAAACAAAAGGGAATAAATGATACAACACTTAAGAAAAGATAACGGTAAACAAAAGGGAATAAATGATACAACATTTAAGAAAAGATAACTGTAAACAAAAGGGAATAAATGATACAACATTTAAGAAAAGATAACGGTAAACAAAAGGAAATAAATGATACAACATTTAAGAAAAGATAACGGTAAACAAAAGGAAATAAATGATACAACACTTAAGAAAAGATAACGGTAAACAAAAGGGAATAAATGATACAACATTTAAGAAAAGATAACGGTAAACAAAAGGAAATAAATGATACAACATTTAAGAAAAGATAACGGTAAACAAAAGGAAATAAATGATACAACACTTAAGAAAAGATAACGGTAAACAAAAGGGAATAAATGATACAACATTTAAGAAAAGATAACTGTAAACAAAAGGGAATAAATGATACAACATTTAAGAAAAGATAACGGTAAACAAAAGGAAATAAATGATACAACATTTAAGAAAAGATAACGGTAAACAAAAGGAAATAAATGATACAACACTTAAGAAAAGATAACGGTAAACAAAAGGGAATAAATGATACAACATTTAAGAAAAGATAACGGTAAACAAAAGGAAATAAATGATACAACACTTAAGAAAAGATAACGGTAAACAAAAGGAAATAAATGATACAACACTTAAGAAAAGATAACGGTAAACAAAAGGGAATAAATGATACAACACTTAAGAAAAGATAACGGTAAACAAAAGGAAACAAATGGTACAACATTTAAGAAAAGATAACGGTAAACAAAAGGGAATAAATGATACAACATTTAAAAAGAAAAGATAACGGTAAACAAAAGGAAATAAATCATACAACACTTAAGAAAAGATAACGGTAAACAAAAGGAAATAAATGAAACATTCGTACGAAAAGATGCTTGTTGATTAATGATCCACGATATTAAATAAGACACTTACACACCGCTAGTGTCGAGCCTTGCTAAAACCAACAAGTACCTGTTAGAGCCACAACCGTTGGTTGAAAAGGCGTGCAACATACAGTTAGGAATTGTGCATATATTATACAACAGAAAAGTTCCAGCACCTACTTTAGGGTTAAAGACCTAGAACATACGTGACGCGGCATCCGTCAGGGTTAAAGACCTAGAACATACCTGTCGCGGTATCCGTCAGGGTTAAAGACCTAGAACATACGTGACGCGGCATCCGTTAGGGTTAAAGACCTAGAACATACGTGACGCGGCATCCGTCAGGGTTAAAGACCTAGAACATACCTGACGCGGCATCCGTCAGGGTTAAAGACCTAGAACATACGTGACGCAGCATCCGTCAGGGTTAAAGACCTAGAACATACGTGACGCGGCACCCGTTAGAGTTAAAGACCTAGAACATACCTGACGCGGCATCCGTCAGGGTTAAAGACCTAGAACATACGTGACGCGGCATCCGTTAGGGTTAAAGACCTAGAACATACCTGACGCGGCATCCGTTAGAGTTAAAGACCTAGAACATACCTGACGCGGCATCCGTTAGGGTTAAAGACCTAGAACATACGTGACGCGGCACCCGTTAGAGTTAAAGACCTAGAACATACGTGACGCGGCATCCGTCAGGGTTAAAGACCTAGAACATACGTGACGCGGCACCCGTTAGAGTTAAAGACCTAGAACATACCTGACGCGGCACTTAAAGACCTAGAACATACGTGACGCGGCACCCGTTAGAGTTAAAGACCTAGAACATACGTGACGCGGCATCCGTTAGGGTTAAAGACCTAGAACATACGTGACGCGGCATCCGTTAGAGTTAAAGACCTAGAACATACCTGACGCGGCATCCGTCAGGGTTAAAGACCTAGAACATACCTGACGCGGCATCCGTCGGGGTTAAAGACCTAGAACATACGTGACGCGGCATCCGTTAGAGTTAAAGACCTAGAACATACCTGACGCGGCATCCGTCAGGGTTAAAGACCTAGAACATACCTGACGCGGCATCCGTTAGGGTTAAAGACCTAGAACATACCTGACGCGGCATCCGTTAGAGTTAAAGACCTAGAACATACCTGACGCGGCATCCGTTAGGGTTAAAGACCTAGAACATACCTGACGCGGCATCCGTTAGAGTTAAAGACCTAGAACATACCTGACGCGGCATCCGTTAGAGTTAAAGACCTAGAACATACGTGACGCGGCACCCGTTAGAGTTAAAGACCTAGAACATACGTGACGCGCCATCCGTCAGGGTTAAAGACCTAGAACATACCTGACGCGGCATCCGTCAGGGTTAAAGACCTAGAACATACCTGACGCGGCATCCGTTAGGGTTAAAGACCTAGAACATACCTGACGCGGCATCCGTTAGGGTTAAAGACCTAGAACATACCTGACGCGGCATCCGTTAGGGTTAAAGACCTAGAACATACCTGACGCGGCATCCGTTAGGGTTAAAGACCTTGTTGTCATTATCAACCAGGAGCGGCCGGAAGTAGCTGCTGTACAGCTGGGCCGTGATGCTGTCGTCAAAGGTCAGCATGACAAACTGGGGCGTGTCGGCCAGTGACATGTTGGGGCGCGCCCCGTAGCAGAAACACTCGGGGAGGCGACAGTTGCTGGAGGTGCATGGGCCGCTGGGGACAGGGGGAGCGGGGGTGTAGGGTTTCCGTGATGTGCTGCGACTCGGTTCCTTGGTGGCTGCTGGTGTCGGCGTCGGCTCGTATGCTGGTGGTGATGGTGTTGGGACGTATGTTGATAGTGTTGGTGTCGGGACGTGTGCCGTTGGTTTTGGTGTCTGCTCGAATGTTAATGGTTTTGGTGTCTGCTCGTATGCTGATGGTTTTGGCGTCGGTTCGTAAACCGTTGGTTTTGGCGCATGTTCGTTTGTGGTTTGCTTAGGGACCTGCTCGCTGGTGTAGGCAGTGTTTGTACCTGAAATACGTTTCATAAAAACAAGGAAAATAAACACCAAAACCAAAATGAGTAACGGAAACCACATTAAAATAAAGCATGGAATTACTTACCGGAACTTGGTGTAGGTTGTTCCCTTGGTCTACAGGTGGCAAGCTGCTGCCAGTTGCACGAGTCTGTTGCCACATCGTACCTGTACAACAGGTGGCGTTTTAGGGGGTGGGGATGTATTGGTTCATTAAATTGCAGTTATATGTTTTATTTATACAAACATAAATTATACTTTAGAGAAATATGGCGATAAGCCTGAATTTTAGACACAATATAATATGATTTATTTGACAAAAGAATGAAGCTGATTCTTTACAAAAGTTGAGTTAAAACACTGGCGTTTATAGAGTTTAAATAAAATAAAACAAACATGTAGTCTTTTATTAGATTGAGGCCATTGGGCGACAACAAATTGTCCAGCAACCATCCACAGCCGTCTAAATTTCTGGACCTTAAGTATCATGGGCCCCATCAAAAGTCTTCATTTGTTGTATGCGACCCGTGGGCCTGACGTTAAGTCAAACATTTCGATAGAAAACTAACTATAATATTCTCTAACTAAACCACCCCCTGACCTACCAAAAAGATAAATTGACTATAAATTAAACCCTGATGTACTTACCTAAGTGGGGACGGACACGTCTCTACAACAATATATCCGTAGCTGCACGTGATGAAGTTCACTCCCAGGTACGAGGTGTCCTCGCCATTCCTGAGTACTGCGCATGCGCGCTCACCGTGCTGTAGATTCCTGAGGCCCTCACTGGTTCTGACTCCCATGCACGGGGTGTTGGCGCCCACCGCCCGTAACGTCGAGCACAATAAGCAGGCGAGGATCCAGGTCTTCATGGTTAGCTGACACCTACGTTTTTAAATTAAATATTCAGGTAACTTCTTACTCTGGATCCAATATTCAAATAACTTCTTATTTTAAATGAAATATTTTAGTAACTTCTTACTTCGAAAAAAAAAGGTAATAGCTATGTTGAGCTTGAGACAGACAGCTCGCTAATTACAAAGGAGATTTTGCCCTGTGCCAAGCTTTATAGGGGGATATTCTCACCTGGGTCCAGTTAGCAGACGACAGGATAGGCCGTGTCCTGATTACACCTGCGCATATTCCCCCAACCTCCCCAACCTTTATAGTACATGGAGATTTCATGTTTTGCTTTGTTTATTTAGTTTAGAAGTCATTAACACTGGTTAATCGTTTGAAACAAAATCTGTTTTCTAGAAACACTCAAATATAACGTAAACAGCATGTCTTAGATTTAAAATACGGAATCGTGGTTATAGTGTTATGTAAGATTATAAAGGTATCAGACTTATTAATTCTGCCCCCCCCCCTTCCACTTCTTGTTATATGAAATGTTTGAAGTTAATACCACATTCGTAGGCTGTTTTTATGACCCAGCATAGTTTTTATTTGGTTTAAATTTCTGATTAGAATTTTTGAATTAAGCTTTCAGACTTGAATGCTAGATTAGTTTACTTAACCGCCGGAATTGATTCTAGATTAGTTCATTTAAACACAGGACTGAAATACCGGACTTAGCAATTATTAGATCAGTCAACTAAACTGCACTAATATAAATATTAGACTTGAAAGTTTTGGATTGAAATACATTTTTCTATTTATCCTGCAACTTTGGTTTTATTACAGTATTACAGAATGAAAAATGTAGTATTCAACAGCGGTAGCCATTATCATCGGTGCGTGTCTGAGGGTTCCAGGAATTCATTTCGGGTGGCCTTGTTTACCCATTTCTATCCCAATATCCTGGATTATGTTTATATCCTACAAACAAGGCGTAGATCTATTGTAAGTTGTTTTTGTTGACTCTAGCAAAAGCCTTGAGTTCTTCGAAACCACTAAGCTTTGCTTAGATGAATTAACTTAACACCCCCTCCCAATCCCCACCTTCTACACAATGTTGTGATATTACCACGAACACAACTTATTCTTAATGGTGTTTATTTCACTCGAACACTGCGTGTGAACCTATCACATTTCAAGGATAATCTTAATTCTTATTATTACTTATGTTGATACCCTGTTCCTTCATATGCCGTGTCTCTTTGAATATTTCATCAGAGATCTCTTAAGCCAGTGGTTTTCAAACTAGGAGGCGGGGAAGAACAGCTCTCAATAGTTCATCGTGCTGATTTAGTGATCGCTAGTTGCTTACCTAATCATGTTATCTCCCAATTTTTATTGAATTTTGAAATCTTCAAAGCAATTTTAAAGACCAGTGTAATATCTAATTAGATTTTAAAGTTGGATATTTTTGTGTTGTCTTCCAAGACGAACGCACCTGGCAACTTTGAACGAAATCCCTCATTATAAAGGCGGAAAATTGAGTAACAAGAGTTGCCACAAGCCCACAGACAGAAAAAAAAGACAAAAAGACATTTAAGTTATGAACTAAACAAGTTAATAAAAAGTCTAGTGACAATTTAAGCGCAATTTCCTTAATTAATTTTTGGTGACCGAACGAAAGGATATTTTTGAAAACTTTCTTCGGCAATATTGTTCTAAATTATGGCAGGAATTGATTGGTAAATGTTTCAAGTCGCTAAGTGGTCTGGTTGCCGAGATATGGGCCAAAAAACTGCATTTTTTCGAGTTTTTTTTGGCTTTTCCGGGAAATCCAGGAAGGAATTCCGGGAATTTTTAGCCCACAATCATCCTCGGAACTTGCTTAACATATTTGCTTTTGGAACTAGTCCTCGATATTGCTTCGTTGAGGAGGAGATACAACTTAAAGCTGCGGACACACATCGGACACACATCCTTGACGAGTTAATAATCGCAATTGTCCGTATGGAAATTGTGCTAAAAAGCTTATCAAAAACCGTGACAATAATCAATATATATAATTCTCTTCTGGGAGACGCTAGAAAACAAGCTGTAAACGCGCTCCCTACCACTCCCACCCCTACATGGTCTGGTGAGCTGTGGTTCACGCTAAATGTTTACAAACAGAGCCGGGTTATGTGACGACTATTAGGGGCAGATAATTTAGTTTGAAACGATTTTAAACGTAGGAGGGGGGGGGGGTAACTAAGTGGAGTTTACTTTAACGGAGGGGGGGGGGTATCGTCCTTAACGAGCTACTTATAGTGTTTTAAAGAAATATTTTCAGTGGCAGCGTTGGTAGTGTAGAATTCACAAATTATGAATAACTGAAAAGTAGAAAAAAACAACAACTAAATAGCGGCGTATGATATGCCGCGGGTCGGCTCGTACATTTTAAATGTACTGAATATATATAACGAGCCGACCCGCGGCGTTTGATACGCCGCCGCTATTTAGTTGTTTTATTTTCTACTTTTCAGTAATTCATAATTTGTGAATTCGACAGTACCAATGCTGCCACTGAAAATATTTGCTTTAAAACACTATCAGTGGCTCGTAAAGGATGATACCCCCCCCCCCTCCTTTCCCCAAACACCCCCCCCCCCCCCCCGTGGAATCGGCCTCCTCTTAGTTACCTCCCCTAAGTTCAAAATCGTTACAAACTAAATTATCTGTCCCTAATAGCCGTCACTAAACCCGGCTCTATGATTGAGCCACAGCTCACCAGACCATGTGGGGGTGGGGGTGGTAGGGATATGCCTAGAGAGGAAGAGAGGGGGCTGCTAGGCGCGCTTACCGATTGTTTTTTTCTGTGGTCTCCAAGAAGAGAATTATATATATAGATAGATAATAATTATATATGCGATTTCTAAAAGACAATTTTCCCCTTCTTAACGTCCATGAAACCAACTAACCGTGACAATCAGTCGACTGACGTAACCGGGCTGATCGAGGGTTGGCTTGAGATTAATCCTGTTGTCATCTCCCCTGGTATTGTTGAATTTCGTGATCTTCACATTGATTTCAAACGACGAATTTAAAATCTGCTCACATTAAAAAATAAGATATTTCTACATTATTTTAAGAGATTAATGTATCTATTAGGTTTGTACGAAACAGCTGCAATAGAGGAGGGTCAAAATTGAGTTATAAGATTTGCCACAAACCAACACATAAACAAGCAAATAAATAAAAAACAAATACAGACATAAAAAGTCAAACAGCTAACTACACGGGGGTCTTAACAAAGTTACTTGTTATCTGGACGGGGGTCTTAACAAAGTTGCTTGTTATCTGGACGGGGGTCTTAACAAAGTTACTTGATATCTGCATGGGGGGGTCTTAACAAAGTTGCTTGTTATCTGGACGGGGGTCTTAACAAAGTTGCTTGTTATCTGGACGGGGGTCTTAACAAAGTTGCTTGATATCTGGACGGGGGTCTTAACAAAGTTACTTGATATCTGCATGGGGGGGGGGGGTCTTAACAAAGTTGCTTGTTATCTGGACGGGGGTCTTAACAAAGTTGCTTGTTATCTGGACGGGGGTCTTAACAAAGTTACTTGATATCTGGACGGGGGTCTTAACAAAGTTGCTTGTTATCTGGACGGGGGTCTTAACAAAGTTGCTTGATATCTGGACGGGGGTCTTAACAAAGTTGCTTGATATCTGGACGGGGGTCTTAACAAAGTTACTTGTTATCTGGACGGGGGTCTTAACAAAGTTGCTTGTTATCTGGCCGGGGGTCTTAACAAAGTTACTTGATATCTGCATGGGGGTCTTAACAAAGTTGCTTGATATCTGGACGGGGGTCTTAACAAAGTTGCTTGATATCTGGACGGGGGTCTTAACAAAGTTGCTTGATATCTGGACGGGGGTCTTAACAAAGTTACTTGATATCTGGACGGGGGTCTTAACAAAGTTACTTGTTATCTGGACGGGGGTCTTAACAAAGTTGCTTGATATCTGGACGGGGGTCTTAACAAAGTTACTTGTTATCTGCAGGGGGGGGGGGTCTTAAAAAAGTTGCTTGTTATCTGGACGGGGGTCTTAACAAAGTTGCTTGATATCTGGACGGGGGTCTTAACAAAGTTGCTTGATATCTGGACGGGGGTCTTAACAAAGTTGCTTGATATCTGGACGGGGGTCTTAACAAAGTTGCTTGTTATCTGGACGTGGGTCTTAACAAAGTTGCTTGATATCTGGACGGGGGTCTTAACAAAGTTACTTGTTATCTGCATGGGGGGGGGGGTCTTAACAAAGTTGTTTGTTATCTGGACGGGGGTCTTAACAAAGTTGCTTGTTATCTGGACGTACTTCAATTTCTCAATCCCAGATTTTGTGTAAAAATTCAATTGAGTAACTTGCTTAACACCGTGTAAATTATAGAAGAAATGAACCAAGTTTATTTGAAGAAAAAAACCCAGTCAAGCTGTATAGCAGATTCCATGAATAATTTTAGCGTGAAGAAAGTGGTCAATTGAATGTTCACCAATCACCATTCCAACTGGAGTATTATACTACCAGAGTTTCTTCCAGGCATCTCATCTGGGTGGGGAGGGGGGTAGAAAGTCTACCGCCTCCCGAACGAAATGGAATTTATATAGAACATATATACTTTTACCAGTACCCGCACCCCACCCCCCAGGAATAATTTAGTCCGCCCTCCCCTCCCCTCGGAGAAAAAAGTCTGGAAGAAACACTGTATACTACGTCAAATAAAAGTATAACTCAAGTAAATTAAAGAGCCTTCGTACTGGTCAACAAAGAACACAATGACAGATTTCTTTCTCCAATATTAATGCATACGTTGGATTAAAGCTTTTTTTACAACTACATGTTATTTATAATTTTAATATTCATTATCAATATAATAATGTATTACATTACTGTTATATAACTTTAGTCAGTGCAAGATATAAATTGTTTATTTAATTTTGATTTCGGCTAGTTACTTACCATTGAAACATTAAATAGGATTAAGGGAAACAACTTGTAATAATTTTGTGAAAATACCTAACATTAAATAGTAATAAAAATAAAAATAGGTATCTGGGTTTTATTAAATTGATAAACACAAATAATTCAAGTCTTGTAAATTTGTTTGCCTAATTATACTTGCTATAGATTTTAAGATAATCATTTGACTCTAATTTAAAAAGAAAACCATTAGATAAGTTAAATTTTTAATTGTGTTAGGGTCAGGTAAGCCTTTTACCTGTACTTTTGTATGTTGACGGTTACATTTTGGAGGTGCCGAACCTCACCAGTTTCAGATACCCATTTTTACTTAACGAGCCGACCCGCGGCGTATCATACGCCGCTATTTAGTTGTTTTATTTTCTACTTTTCAGTAATTCATAATTTGTGAATTCGACAGTACCAATGCTGCCGCTGAAAATATTTGCTTTAAAACACTAACCCCCCCCCCCCCCTTTCCCCCAACCACGACCCTACACCCCCCCCCCCGTGAAAGCAGCCTCCTCTTAGTGACCTCCTGTAAGTTTAACATAGTTTCAAACTAAATTATCTGCCCCTAATAGCCGTCACTAAACCCGCCTCTACGTTTTGTAAACATTTAGCGTGACCACAACTCACCAGACCATGTGGGGGTAGTAGTGATAGTGATAGTGAGAAAGAGGGGACTGTAAGGAGGCGCTTGCAGCTTGTTTTCTAACGTCTCCCAGAAGAGAACTATATATATGAGCCGACCCGCGGCATATCATACGCCGCTATTTAGTTGTTGTTTTTTCTACTTTTCAGTTATTCATAATTTGTGAATTCGACACTACCAACGCTGCCACTGAAAATATTTCTTTAAAACACTATAAGTAGCTCGTTAAGGGCGACAACCCCCCCCCCCCCCTCTCCGTTAAAGTAAACTCCACTTTGTTACCCCCCCCCTACGTTTAAAATCGTTTCAAACTAAATTATCTGCCCCTAATAGTCGTCACTAAATCGGCTCTGTTTGTAAACATTTAGAGTGAACGACAGCTCACCAGACCATGTAGGGGTGGGGGGTGGTAGGGAGTGCGTTTACAGCTTGTTTTCTAGCATCTCCCAGAAGAGAATTATATATATAGATAGATAGTTCTATCTTACGCATATACAAAATCTGAGTCGGGTGTTTGTCTTGACCTCCGCCCTAATTCGTGATCGAACCCAGGGTAAGTACCATTAATCTAGACCCCGACAACACAACGTTCCACTCAGTGTATGGGGAACTTGTAAATCTCGGGAGAACGTGACCCCCCCCCACCACAATGTTCCCCTCAGTGTATGGGGAACTTGTTAATCTGGGGACGACATAGACCCCACAATGTTCCCCTCAGTGTATGGGGAACTTGTAAATCTGGGGACGACATAGACTCCACAATGTTCCACTCAGTGTATGGGGAACTTGTTAATCTTGGGACGACCTAGACCCCACAATGTTCCCCTCAGTGTATGGGGTACTTGTTAATCTGGGGACGACATAGACTCCACAATGTTCCCCTCAGTGTATGGGGAACTTGTTAATCTTGGGACGACCGTGCAGTGCGCCCACGACGTTGGCTTGTTCTAGAATTCCTAAATAAAGAAAATATTCAGAACCACGAAGAAACGGAGTTTCTTCCAGGCATCTCTTCCGAACGCAATGGAATTTATATAGAAAAAGTATGGAAGAAACACTGCGAAGAAATAAAAGTGCTGTTCACAGTAGGGCTATAATACTGTAATATAGGCTACTTTAAAAAAAAATTAAATCAGGTAATTCACTTAAGTTAAACTGTCTCAATTAGCTTCAGGCATCAATTGAAAGAGAGTAAACGAAAAAAACTGCCAGATCAAATGCGAGTAGTGGTAGCCAAATAGTTTAAACAGAAGTACAAAAAAAAATTACTTTCGTTAAATTTCTGTAAAAATGTATTAGCAAATTATAAATTATGTTATAAATCACTATTCACGTATAGCCAGTACTTAGGTCAAACATGCAGCTGTAGGTAGTCGAGACAAGGAAGGGAAAATAACTGGACTAGCAGAAATCAGTGACATAATCAGCGATACCACCTCTGATATCTTCAGTAATACCATTCAGGATACGACATGCCATACCACCAGAGATACCTGTATCGATACCATCCTGCACGGACTGAAAACCAGCAAGAGAATAAGAAAGGTCCACAACCAAATCCACTCAAACTTAGATATACGTTTTAATGTTTAAAATTAAGAAAAATTCAACACCGGTTATTTGTTGTTCGGACTCCGACATTAGTATCTGCCCCAGAACGAGGCACAAACGCCTAACACTAACAGCCCCACTTCTGCTGGATCATCTGAGCGTTGGTCAGCGGCTGTTTCATCCACTGCAGCACCTGTTTGGGCGTGACAAACCAGACGTCAGTGCGGGTTTGTAAGACGTCTTTGATCCAGGCCACCAGAGCTGGGTAGGATTCTATGGAGCGGAGGAACATGGAGCCGTGGGTAAAAATTGGCATCGGGACCTTCACGGGGTAGAAGTGGCTCTCAAAGTTCTGTCTGGCGAACGAAAGAAAAAAAAAAAACGTCTCAAAGTTTTAACCGTATAGCAAACAAAATTGCCACATACCATTTTATTTTTAGACTGCGCGTTACTAGTTTGCATTTTAAACTGTTTATGGCGTTAGGCAGTAACGATACAATTATGGTATTCATGGGGATGGGGGGGGGGGGGGGGGGGGGGGTTGGATCCACCAGGTGACACTGTCACACTACACCAAGAGGGTGACACCGAAACGAAAACAATAGTCGACCTGATTTAGAAAATCTGCTTTTTCTTTTAAATTTAACACCTCATAAAATTGTAAACATATTTAAGTATTGAGTGACATTATCCAGGAGGTGTGTGTAATGGGGGGGGGGGGGGGGTGACATCTAATTAACCACACTTTAGCTCGGCTAATATAAAGTCGTTGGGTGGGGGGTGACCTAGTGGTGAGTCAGCATCATGCCGCTACAGTGAATCAATGCGATTCTTGTATTAGTTTTAAACTTTAAAGTGAAAAAATTACAGATGAGAATCGTGGGACTCCTAAATTGATTTGAGCAGAAGTAATGAATAAAACGACACTTTAAATGTATGGCGTAGACTCGATACAAGCGAGTTTCTTATATAAGGAGAAAAAAACGTACTTAAAAAAGTTGTACCATTCCTGGCGAGTCGTCTGGAAAACGTCTGCACCAACGGAGCAGGCGTCTATCATGCTACAACTGTAGCCGTTGTCACCAATCAAGGAATTCATCGGGACTTCCCAAAACCCGGGGTAGGCGTTTGTGGGGCAAGGCGGGTTGACACAGCTGTGGATAGGGCATGGGGTCAGTTATTACAGGGTTGGATAGGTTGGTCAGTTATTACAGGGTTGGATAGGTTGGTCAGTTATTACAAGGTTGGATAGGTTGTGTGGTCAGTTATTACAGGGTTGGATAGGTTGTGTGGTCAGTTACTACAAGGTTGGATAGGTTGTGTGGTCAGTTATTACAGGGTTGGATAGGTTGTGTGGTCAGTTATTACAGGGTTGGATAGGTTGTGTGGTCAGTTACTACATGGTTGGATAGATTGTCTGGTCAGTTAATACAAGTCCAGTAGATTTTTAGCTTTTGTAAATTCTGTAAAGAACAATATTTTGAAACACTTTTAGCTATGTATATTTTTTTATAGAAGGCTCTTAATTGGTACAAAACTGCCTAAGTTCACTGTAAAATCAATAAATATTGAACACATTTAGTAAAACACTTTACTTGGTGATCAAGTAATCACAGGTGAACGGCCAGACAGGTTTCCTTTTGGCAGCGATCTCGATGTTGCTGATGGAGGAGTCGTAGAGAAACTTGTAGTCCCGCAGGACGTCGAACTGCATGTTCCCGCCTACACGCAGGTAGGGGGCGCGGAACCCCAAGATGGCGTCGGTCAGATTTTGGTTCCCTGTGGCGTTAAGAACTAGCCTCCTCACTCCCTCAATCTGAAACAAGGAAAACATCGTTATCTTTGTTGATTTAAAACCACATTAAACAATTTAAAATAATAATCATTAAAAAAGTTTTAAAAAACCCACGTTTTCTGATTGAACTAAAAAGTACAAAATAAATGCTATAGGCCCTACATCACAATAATGCAAGCGATCACTCTACTATAAGCGATCAAAAACGTGGGGCGCCGAAGTAAAAGTTATATTACTATTGATTAGATAATACTATTGACTTTTATTAGGGAGCTTGTAGAGAGTCAACAGTATTAGAAACTGTAAGAAAATCACGGCGCCCCACGTTTTTGCTCGCTTATAGTAGAGTGATCGCTTGCATTATTGTGATGTAGGGCCTATAGCATTTATTTTGTACTTTTTAGTTCAATCAGAAAACGTGGGTTTTTTAAAACTTTTTTAATGATTATTATTTTCTACTTTTTAGTCTTTGTCTGTTTGTTTGCATTAAAATCTTGCTATCGATTTTATCTTTTCACTTTTTTTGGGTAAACGAAGACAACTCGTAAAAAGACAACTCGTAAAAAGACAACTCGTAAAAAGACAACTCGTAAAAAACACGTTCTGTGAATACGTTACTGACTAGAACACATAGATTTGAACCCGTGTCGAGTGGGATAGCAATCGTGTGCCCAACCACTCGACCATATCGTCTCCCCCAAACTGGCCTACCTCCTGTAACTTTAAACTCGGTTCAAGCTAAATTATCTGCCCCTAAGCCTGTGGCGACGTGTGATCGTTCGCTTCACTGCGCGCGAGGTACGCGTCGCTGGTTTTTTTTCTAATGGCTAGCAGAGGAGAATTATATATATAGATTATATAGCGGTCTAAAATGCTCAATAAAATGTTTCCATTGATCAATTTAGTAATAATAACAATTGAATATTCAATGGTCATCCATAATAAAGCTTCCCTGAAAATTTCAGCGCGCTAGCTAACTGGGAAGTGCCAGAAATTTCGATCGCAAGATTTGATTGGAAAGACAAACAAATAAACACACAGAGAAAGCAAGTTAAAGAAAACGTGGGAAAAACATTTTATGTAAAAACCTGTTTAATAATTAGTTTTTGAATGCACTAAATATAAGCATTTTCTTTACATAGAGTAGTAAAAGTGGTCGTTCAAAAATCTATTTAAACAATCTACACTTTAGCAATCAAATGTTTTTACCAATTTAGTTAAAGGAAATGTGTGTTATTTTAAATGTAATGCATTCAGTGGTAAACTAGAAAAATCGTTTCAGTAGCACCCTACATGTTAATAGCGTTCAATAGAGCCCTGAATATTTCAGTAGCACCCTGAATGTTTTAGTAGCACCCTGAATCAGAGGCGTAGGGATGGGGGGTACATATGTCCCCGGGCGCCGACCCTAGTGGGCGCCAACATGGGTTGGAAAAAAAATCATTTTAGCTGCAATCTTGCATTATAAATATAAAAAAATATATGGGGGGGGGGGGCGCCACATTGAAAGTTTGTCCACGGGCGCCGGGAAGAGTCGCTACGCCTCTGCCCTGAATATTTTAGTAGCACCCTACATGTTAATACCACCCAATAGCACCCTGAATGTTTGTTTAGCACCCAGAATGTTTAAGTAACACCCGGAATGTTTCAGTAGCACCCTACATGTTAATAGCACCCTGAATGTTTTAGTAGCACGGTAGCACCCTGAATTTTTTAGTAGCACCCTGAATGTTTTGATATTACCGCTTCAACCATTGGTGGGTAGTCGCTCTCTTTTTCCCCCACCAGCGTGGCGTGGTTGATGGTGTGCGAGGCGACCTCGTTCCCAGCATCCCACACGGCCTTCAACTTGCTGAAGTCTGTATTAGCGATCGTGATGAACAAGGCAGTCCTGATGATTGGAGACAGTTCAAACTTATAGCTAGCCACAATAGTTTTACAAACTCAATCAAAGTTACTTGCCTCTGCCCTCCATCTGAATTCTCCCCATCCTTACCCCACTAGATGCCTAACGTGTCCTTTTTTTTCTACCAAATATTTTCTACTAATATTTTCAAGCATTTATAGTTTCCTCCCCCCCCCCCCCCCCAGTCAATTAAAGTCAATTCAAGTTAAAAACAGTTGGAGATTAAGTAATTGACATATAGATCTATATCCTGATTGACAATTCCTGTATTGAAAGTGAATGAGTTTAAAAATTGTGACAATAGTGAATGATTTTAAAAGTTGTGACAATAGTGAATGAGTAAAAAAAAGCTGTGACAATAGTAAATGAGTTAGGAAGTTGTGACAATAGTGAATGAGTTTAAAAATTGTGACAATAGTAAATGAGTAAAACTGATCTGGCCACCTACTTTATTCGGCAACCACTTGGGTTGGTTATGTTGTAAACAGTTGTGACAATAGTGAATGAGCTTAAAATTTTGACAATAGTGAATGAGTTAAAAAGTTGTGACAATAGTGAATGAGTTAAACTGATCTGGCTACCTACTTTATCCGGCAGCCACTAGGGTTGGTTATGTTGTAATCGTTGTCCACAATGAGAGCCCGGTAGAATTTGTTGTACAGCTGCGCCGTGACCCCGTCATCAAAGGTCAGCATGACAAACTGGGGCAGGTCGGCGGGCGCCATGTCTGGCACCGCCCCGAAGCAGAAACAGTCGGGGAGTTTACAGTTGTCAGCCGTGCAGGGCCCAGCGGGCGCCGGGGGAGCAGTGACGTAGGGCTTCCGTGTGGTCGTCACCGTTGTTGGTGTTGTTGGTGGAATTGATGTCGTTGATGTTGTTGACGATAGTGGTGTTGTAGACGACAGTGGGGTCGTTGGTGTTGCTGATTGCAGAGGTGTTGTTGATGGCAGTGATGTCGTTGATTGCATTGACGTTGTTGATGTTGTTGACGATAATGGTGTTGTAGACGACAGTGGGGTCGTTGGTGTTGCTGGTTGTGATGTTGGTGTTGCTGGTTGTGATGTTGTTGCTGGTGGTGGTGTTGTTGATGGCAGTGATGTTGTTGATGGCAGTGGTGTTGTTGATGGCAGTGGTGTTGTTGATGGCAGTGGTGTTGTTGATGGCAGTGATGTTGTTGCTGGTTGTGATGTTGTTGATGGTGGTGGCGTTGATGTGGTGGGATGCGATGTCGAATAGTATTGTTCGGTTGAAGATGTAGGTAGGTTTTGTAAAGATGTAGTTGTTTCTGGATATGTTGGTGGTGGTGATGATGGAGTTTGTTGAGATGTAGTTGGTGGTGGTGGATATTGTGTTGTTGATATTGTTGTTGCTGAAGTAGTTGGTGGTGAGTTTAGAGGAGGTGCTGATGTTGTAGGTGTGTAAGTTGTAGCAGATGTGGTCGACACTGGGGTTGTAGAAGTAGCTGCAGTGGTTGTGGTCTGGCTATCTGTTGGTGTATAGGACGCAGATGAGGAAGTTGTATCTGACGATGTTGTTGAATATGGTGGTGTCGTCGTCGTTGTGACTGTTGATGTTGTTGTATATGGTGTTGTTGTTGTCGTTGTACCTGTTGCTGTTGTCGATGATGTGGCTGTAGAAGTTGTAGGTATAGAAGTAGTTGAGGCTGTGGATGTTGTAAAAGGTGTTGATGATGTAGTTGCTGCTGTGGATGTTGTAAAAGGTGTTGATGATGTAGTTGCTGCTGTAGATGTTGTTGATGCTGATGTAGACGATGTAGGTGATGAGTTTTGAATTAAACTGAGCAGTGTTGAACTTCTAACAGTGGTTGCCCTTGCTGTTGTAGAAGTGGCTTTGGTTGTGGCCGGCGTAGTTGTAGAATTACCTGAAAATATAACGTTATAATTCAATGGTCCAAATAACGAAACCTTAAAATGCTTGTATAATATCCAGGTACGTAAAACTAATATATGATCTCAAGTTAAATAACGAACTAAAATGCCAAAAAAATGTGATATTAGTGAAAAATATATAACTCTTTTGATATATACTTTTTAGACACAGTAAAAACCTTGTGGTTTAAATTTTTTTGCCCCCCCCCCCACCTGATAATTTGTGAGACCGTATATCTTATGTAATGTAATTTTCCCCCCTTTACAACTAACATGCAAATCTGCATTGACTTTGTTTACAAAATGACGTAGTTTATCAAAGAGAGTCACCTCCCCTGGGTGCAGACTTACCTCCAGAACCGAAGCTGATGAGTGTACAAGAAGCAAACAATGGCCAGTTACAAGTCCCGGAAAACACGTCATACCTGTTAATTAGGTCAAGATAACCAGGTGTTAACCCTCTATGAGGTGATATTAGTTTAAGTATTCGTTATGTAGTCAATCCTAGAGAATGGTACTTTTTTAACATCACGAAAAACATTTGGGGGCGTTTGTGCCCTTTAGCATAGCCGTTATCAGACAATTTGAGCGAGTGAGCCACATAGGCATTTTATTTTAAATTATAGAATATGTACGCGAACTTAATAATATTTTTCTGGCATACTGCTTGCATTGCCAAACATTTGCCACCGACGAATTCCTATTCTGATTTCCATTAAAGCTGCAGAAAACATTTAAACCAGTAGGAACTGACAGTGTATGAAGAAAATGTTACTGATTAGAAAACTCGGTCAAAATGTATATTTGAATAGCAAAACACTCATTCAACCATGAACAGTACTTATCAGACACAGAAGATTGAGATGGTTGGGTCAGGTGCTAAGAATGAAAGCAGACACATTGGCTAGGACTGCTCTCAAATGGACACCACACGGCAAGAGAAAATGAGACGGCAAAAAAGAGCACGGAAAAGATCAATGGATAAATATAAAGCATTGATGGAAAGAGTCCTAACATTCCACCTGGCAGAAGCTATAGCTAGAGACGGAAATTATTGATGCCTAGTTCTCCAATGGGCGTAGAGAAACGATAATGATGAAGATACTATTTACATGGTACTAATGTAAGAATGTGTGTGTAAGAGCGACTTACTTTAACATGGTCTGGCAGGCTTGTGTGTAGACAAAGCCAGAGTTGCAGGTGACAAAACGCGCCCCCTTTGTGGTTTCACCTGCCTTTAGCGGTGCGCATGCCTTCTCCCCGTGTTTCAGGTCAACAAGGCCTTCGCTGGTGTCCGTCTGCGGGCAGTCTCCCGTAGCCGCCTGCCCCAGGGCCACGACACTCAGAAGCACCAGCCCAACTGGCAGCACAGTCAACATCCTCATGGCACGTCAGGACTTGGGGTGGAATGTAAAACTGTACACCCACAGCTTTTCAGCTTATTCAAACGATATAAAAAACGAAAGTGCTGTAAGGCTCCTCATTCAATAATAATCATTGAGCCAGTAGCCGAATACCCGGATCAACCTCCGCTTGTGATGGACGATTGTAAAACTTGGTGAAACTGATCGCGAGATCTCGTAGAGCTCCGCCAGAGGTCACGTGAACAAACAACGCCCTCTTTTCCAAACTGTTCACTGGTTAAGATATGAGGTAACCGACTTGTTCAAACCTCAAGGATAAAATAAAGAGATTTGCAGATATCAGATTTATGAGGGGGGGGGGGGGACTCGGGTTAATCTGATGATTAAGGGAACTAAAAAACTGTCTTTATTGGTGTAATTTTAGAGCTACCTTATATATTTCAACGGAAGGTTTCGGTTAAAAATACATTTGGCGCCCTAAGGCGTTTCGGTAAATGACACCACACAATCTTAGTCGATTTTACCCCCCCCCCCCCCCCCCCGTCTCACGTCATCGCAAGATTTCAGATAAAATGACGTCAAAATTCTCCACCCACATTCCCATACCCCAATAAAAAATTTGAAAGAACAGTTTTCAGTATTTCTATAAGAAGTTCACAATGTATATAAAGTCACATTTCATGAACACAAAAGCTATAACCCCGGACCCTCTAGGAGAGTGAAGTTTTAATTGGATAACCCAACTTGGTGAATACTTTATGTCTGTGTCTTCCAGCACACCTTGTCTACATCATGTCTGTGTCTGCTAAGACACCTTGTCTACATCGAATACAGTCCATCTTGTATTTTAAAAGCCATTCGGCAATATGCATAACAAACTTGCAACAAGAATGAAAAACGCCAAAATACGACCAAAAATGAACCTCCAAAAAAAAAAAAAAATTTTTTCCTAAAAAACTCGCTCTTTTATTATATCTAAAGTTGACGTTTGAACTTTCTACCTACAACCCTCCCACCTCTACATACAAATAATTTTTTTCCTAAAAAACTCGCTCTTTTATTATATTGTAACGTTTTTACTACTCTCAAATGTACTGTTCTATTGTAATATTCTTGCTTCTATCAATTGTAACGTTCTTCTTCTCTTCTATTTCTCACTCTCAGTCACAGTCACAGACGATCAAGAATGAAGAATAAGCCGTCTTCTGCAAATCTTTATTTGACTATCTTTCTTGAGCGGGAATTGTCTGTGTAGCGCGCATCTAACAAGACTATAGCGCCAATACGTGTGCTGCATAAATTACTGGCTAGGCCGTCGTTTCTCCATCCCCTCTAAGGCTAACGCACCGGCTTATATACCCCACCCGCGAGCGTCTCGGATGACACCTTGCTCTTGGCACGAATTCTAACGCTTACCTGTGAAAATTTCTCCCGCTTTTGTGTTAACCGACCCCAAATAACCCTATATAAAAACTTAACGCGATCTCCTAAAATTCTAATAAGCTCATCTCTGAAACCACAGACAATAGGCTGTTGAAGTGGAGTCCAAATGGAGTCCTGCCGGTTGGCGTTTTTTTAAACCAAATCTGGATATTTTTATTAAATCTTTTTTTTTAAAGTTAGGAAAGCTACTTTCGCTTTTAGCTTCAAAACAAATACAAGTTTTAGAATCAGAATTTTATGAATTTAGACCTAGAATTCGAGATAGATATAGAATCTAATCTAGATTCTAGATCTTTCTAGATAAAGAATTGACTTTTCAACTTTTCAGATTTTAATAAAGATTCTAGATCTAGATCTAGATCTAGAATCTAGATCTAGAATTTTATTTAGAATACAACCGACTCGCTAGATTTAGTTTTATTTAGTCAATTATTCAGTGGTAAGGACCGTAGTCAGTCTAACTATTACTATACTTATACTACTATAGTAACTGAAGTTACTAAAGTCTAAGGTTCTAAACTCTAAGTCTAAAGGTTTCTAAAGACTAAAGAAGAGTAAAGAACTAAAGATTCTTTACTAAAGAAGACGTCGTAAAGTCAAGTGACCAAGTCTAAAGATTAAAGAATTAAAGAACTTAGTACTAAATTAATATTATTAATAGTACACTAAGTACAGTATATAATAAATATATACTATATTACTAAGTCTAAGTTATAAACTGTAGATAGATTTAGATATTAATAAGATATAGATCTAGAGAATCTAGATTTAGTACTGTTATAGTCATAGTCTGGTATAGGCCTAACAAATCGTCAAAAATAGTCAAATAGTATTATTATTTATTTGCTAGATCTAGGGCCTAAGTATTTTATTTAGATCTTGATCTCTGATCTATGCCTTATTTTAGTTAGACCTAGATCTAGAATTAAATAATATATATTATATATAGACTATAGACTATAGAGTATTTTCTTTTATAGTGAACTATATGAATACTTTTATTAATATTATTATTAGGTGTTAGTATTGTTACGCACCCCCTACTCTAATCCTTTCGAACTAGTCAGGGGATCGTAAACAAGAAGAAGAAAATAAAAATAAATAAAAGCCAACTTCAGTAATCTCTATTTATTCGCCACAAAATACAACATCTAACATTAACCCGCCACCGAAGTACAACTATCAGAAATATACACAAGTAACTACAACAACTAAAGTCCTTAAGTCGACTGCCCTACTTGTCCCTAACCGTCTAGCATAGCCTAAGTCTAAAACATGTCGTGGCTTTCCACCAGCTCACAAAGACGACCCAGGTCTGTCTCCCCTAAACCTAGCTATCCGAGACGAGTACGTCCGTCTCCGAGTGCGTGTCCCGACTGTCTGTCGAGAGTGTCCCAGTCTCCGGTCTACCCTCCTAAAGTACTCGTCCCCCGCCCTACACCGTGGGAACGATTTTAATTAAGGCCTGACCCTAGGTCATATCCGTCCATGACGGTCCCCTCGGCCCTATCCGACCTGGAAGGTTTTCCCAGCCGTAAATCACGGGCTGCTGGCCACGTTAATAGCCGAGTCCCCCAAGACACCAAGGCTGACACGCCTACACGCGTGGAATCTAATCCGGTGTGGCCATCACGGCCCAAAGATTCTCACGACCAGCACTGGTCAGTGCATTAACATGCCTAAGCATTTCATTTTAATTACCTGGCCCTCCTCGATGGGACCAAACCCAGGTAAAGATCACTTGGGTTCGTAACACCCCCACCCTTCAAGAAATTAATTCGCCACCACATGGTGAATTAATTGAACATCTCTTACTAGACAACCATCCCAATCTCACAATTCCTCAAAAGTCCCAGAATAAACCTAAATAGGACTAAAACAATTTAACATCATCATTATAAAAAGATAAGAAACGTGGATGATTTAGTCACAATAACAAGTTTGACTAAATACCCCAAACACAATGTCATCAAACATAGACATCAAAGTAATTAAAACAGCAAATCTGCAACACATGTGTCACTGTCGCAAATAATGCTAAGATTGAAAACCAACAGTCTTCGTTTTACTGATAGTTACGTCATCAGTCAACAAAACCTGTCAATACAATTAAAACTGTCACGAATTCATCATCATGTAAAACATCAATAACACATTTTTTTTTCAAACAAGACATGTATATAAGGGTACATTCTTTAAGCCTGAAAATAGTTCATTTTGATTAGAACACTTGCATCCTGGGAAAACATGAAACAGTCTATCTTGGGAACAGTTCTAATAGGTTTGAAACACAAATTAGTTTTCCGTCTTGCAGGTCATCATGAGTCCGTTACCATAAAACTTAAGCCGAACTTTATAACGGCGCAGCACAAATTTAGTAACAGAGTTATTGTCCGTCCACACCAATATCGACTCGCACATAAGGCGTGGTTTCACAGGACAGCTTGCACTAATGCCATGTTTTGGCTCGATGTTAATCCTGAACATCGAGGCACACAAAGAGGGAACAATTACACGCCCCGTCTCCGTGAAAGCCATGGGGTGTGCGCTCGCTTGTACGCACCCTCGGTTGAGAGAAGTAGCGTGACCCGCTGAGGTCACCGTCTCCGGGTTGTTGGTTTTGACCGGGTCGGTCAGAGAACAATAAATCACCTCCGTGATAAGGGGAGGGAAGCCTGAGTTAGGCTCAACTCCTGAACAAGAGGTAACAACTACGCTTGTCACCGACGTTGACAAAAGATTCGTCGTCTCCTCAAACTCGGGATGTAGAACACCATCCGCGTGACCTCCAGGTGAGGTCACCGTCTCCAGGTTGCTGGTCTTGACCGGGTCGGTCAGAGAACAATAAATCACCTCCGAGATAAGGGGAGGGAAGCCTGAGTTAGGCTCATTTCCTAAACAAAAAGTAACGACTTTGCTCGTCACCGCTGACAAAAGATTCACCGACTCTTCGATCTCTGGATGTAGAACACCATCCACGTGACCTCCAGGTGAGGTCATGGCCTCCAGGTTGCTGGACTTGGTCGGGGAGAAATTAAACACTGCTGGGATCATGGGAGGACAGCCCGTGTTAGGCTCACCTCCAAGACAATGGGTAACGATTCCGTCCGTTACCGATGCGAGCAGAAGAGTTGTTGACTCGTCTACCCGAAGGTGTGGGTCACCATTCACATGACCTCCAGTTAAGGTCATGACGCCTTCAAGACCACAAGTAGTAAGGTCTTGATCAGATGCAGTTACTGGTTCAGGTTCAGACGAGGACAGCCTGTTCTCATGGGTACTCACTCTCTCGGTGGTTACCGTGATTTCAGCGGTGGTTGTAACCACTGGTTCTGATATTGACTGCCCCTTTTCATGACTGGTCAACATCAGAGTGGTTGCCGTTATATCATCGGTGGTTGTATCCACTGGGTCAGATATTGACTGCCCCTTTTCATGACTGGTCAACATCGGAGTGGTAGCCGTGATTTTATCTAAACCAATAACTTGCTGAATGCCTTCAGTACTTGTCGGCACACAACTCTCAACTCGTAAGCTATCAGCACGTTTTGACGTTTGTGCTGGTTCTGCTAGGTTAGAGTCGACTTCAGGGACTGAGCCAAAGCTAGTGGCAGCCTTAGACTGAGACTGACAAAACTCGCTACCAACTCTATCAGACAACGAACTATCTTCATTTCTATACCGATCCTCGGAAACTACTACACTGGCCTGAGAGAAAACAGAGACAGATTCTGGAAAGTCAAACAACCCGCTAAGCTGTGCCTCCTCCCATAGCCTAAGTAAATCCCGTTCCCTCCTGATCTCTAATAGTTTAATTTCATGTCCGAACAGTTTCTCTAAACTT